TTTTTTCAATATTTGGATACTTTTTTCATAACTCACATTTTCCTTGAACTCTTTGAAGATTCCTTATATCATCTTAACAGTTATAAAGGCAAAATTTTCAAAATGATGTTTTTCAATATTGTTGAATACTGACTCTAAAAATTCACTTGATATTATGCACATGACTAGGTAACTGTTTAAATATCCAAAAAGAAAATAATAAGGACATACATGCTATCATGCAGACTCCCCCACACACTTCCTGAGATATAATAGCTTGTCCTTACTCCAAGTAATGTCTGTTCCTTATACATTATACATTATCTTCTTTTTCTAATGAATATATTTAATCTTTGTATGAAAATCAAACATTTCTTTTTCCTAACCCTTCAAATGTCAGCTTTTAAAAATTGTTTATCTTTTATAAATATAAATTTATAGTCACAGGAAATTTAGGATTCTACTCACCATCTAGCCATAGTAACTTAATATGAGCATTAATTTAACAGTGGGTATTAGATAGTTTTTAACCACTTTTTTTCACCAAAAATTATAGATAAGCATAATAAATTAGTTTTCAAAATAAATCTTTCTGGGGGCCAGCACCGTGTCTCACTTGGTTAATCCTCCGCCTGTGGTGCCGGCATCCCATATGGGCACCGGGTTCTAGTCCCGGTTGCTCCTCTTCCAGTCCAGCTCTCTGCTGTGGCCTGGGAAGGTGCTTGGGCGCCTGCACCCTCATGGGAGACCAGGAGGAAGCACCTGGTTCCTGGCTTCCGATCGGTGTAGCTCCAGCCATGGCGGACATAATGGGGGGGGGGGGGGGTGAACCAACGGAAGGAAGACCTTTCTCTCTGTCTCTCTCCCTCACTATCTAACTCTTATCTGTCAAATAAAAAAATGAGAGATTCACTTATAAAAATAAATAAATAAATCTTGGTAAATTTTATTCTTTTAGCAGGTATCTTGAAATGATTGTAGCTAACTTGTTTCCCCCCTTTATTGAGTTTGCAGTATTTAATCAGTTTTCTACAGATTTTAATTTTAATGTTAACCTCAAATATTTATGTTCTTTCCTTTGATTTGCCAATTGAATGTCATTACTCTGAATCCTGTTAGAAATTTCATTAAAATAGTTTTCATCTGAAAGTAGTATTCAATAGCAATGTTACCAATTAAAAATATTTATTCAACAGAAAGATAAAAATTCAGTAATATTTTGCTGTTTTACATAATGTCTTATGGTACCCTACCTAAATTTGCTTATATCAATTATAATAATCTCTGCATTGTGGGTTGAAGCAGTGGTGTGCCCATTGCTCTCTGCCTCTGGGTGTTTGATAACTGTGCCAAGCCAGCCTGCTCTGAGATTTCTGTATCTCTTGGGTGAAAGTAATAGAAAAAGCAGTGGTACTCACTTGAGTATCACCAGAATTATGCAACTCATGGAGTAGATCTTGTTCACAGTTAAACCTTTTCTTTCACCACTAATATATCTTGCATTTCTCTTCTATTGTTCTTGAGCCCTGATAACAAAGTAGTCAAAAGGTTATGTATTGATTTTCACTCTAATCTCAGTGAAGCTGATTATGCTACTTCAGTGCCTGTGTGGTTTGGCCTTGCATTGGCAGCATTTAAATGGCACTCCCCAAGTTTCATTTGCAATTTCTACCTGAGAGCTTGTTGCTTTGACAGACAGGGGTCCCCATCAAGTCCCAATCAAAAATATAAATAATTAACCCCTGGCTATTCACAGTGAGAATTTACAGTGAATTCCGTTTACCTAATAACACTATGGAAAGTATACTTTATTTCGTATGTACTATTTCTATGTTATTGGTCTTGGGAATTTTCATCCTTTACCATCTTTGACTTGGAAAAAATATTTTAAAAACTTTTGACTGATGAAACACTGAATTAACTTCATTTTATGTGCCAAGTAAATCCTTTCTTCTAATTTGAAGTACTTACTTTGATGTGAAAATTTGAAATCATGGTGAGGACTTGCTATTATGTTGGTTTTCCTACACTTGATTTTCTTATAAAAATTTAACCAGCATATGGTACTTTGTTCCTAAGATTTCATATGTATGTATCACCATCTCTGGTCTTTCCACTCATCTTTTTGTGAACTCTACTAGCCTTCACTACTCCTTCTGCCGTGCACTTAAGGCCCTTGGAATTGCTTCTAATCCTCAGTATAGGACTCAAGCTTCTAGAACAAAATTTGATGTGGGTGCTTCATCAATCAATACTCAATCACTATCAAACCCTTCACCCAATCCCTCATTTGGCAAAATTTCCCATAGCATTGAAAGTATATTGAGATCCATAACATATTTGTAAATTATAAGTAATCTCAAATGTATAAGCAAATTTTAATATTTTTGAAAACAACATAACCAAGTTTAATTCTTCTGGGTATTGCATAACATTTCTATTTACTACTAAAAATAAATTTCTACTGTCAAACTTTTAAACGTTAGATTTTTACAGTACTAACTGGAGAATAGAAACAGAACCCAGTTGTATTTACTTTTTACATTTAATGACCAAGAATGAGATGCAATGCTGTATAACCATTTATTATGAACATGGACACATAGATTTACTTTTGTAATTGTTTCCTGTGAAAAAGTTGTTGGCTTTTTTCAGCCTACGGCAATTGTCTCTGATCTTTTCTGAATACTTCAATACATTTATAAATAGACTAAATTATGAGGCAGATGTTTGTTTATTTATTCAAAAGATACATGGATAAGTGGCTAGATATTTCAAGGTGAAAGACTCCGTTGTTTGATGTGTGTTCTCTGCAGTAGTATAGATAGCTACTTAAAAACTGTGTTATTGGCTTTTAATTGTAAAAAAAATTATTTTAAAATTTTAATTGTAAACATATTACATCTAAAAATTCTAGGGAGAAAAATGTTTCCATCACCTCAAATATTATTTTTATAATGTAGATAATAAGAAAATAATTTAGCTTGAAACAAAATGCCTGAAACTACTTTGCTTTTCCTAAATTTAATTAAATGATAGTGATTCTTTTAAATGATAAACAATAGTGGACAGCAGTTTTATTGTATTGTACTGTTTTATTGTATTGTACTGTTCACTTTTATTAATCCATAATTCCACATTAAAATTCACACTAAAAATGTGATTTATTGGGGCTGTGCTGTGGTGCAGGAGTTTAAGCTGCCACTTGGGATACCTTCATCCTCTATTGGAATACTGGATGTCCCAAATACTCCACTTCTCATTCAGCTTCCTGCTAACACACCTGCAAAGGCAGCAGATAATGGTCCAAGTACTTGGGCACCTGCCACCCACGTGGGAGACCTGGATGGCGTTCTGGGCTACAGCCTGGCCCAGTCCTGGCTGTTGTGGCCACTTGGGGAGTGAATTAGAATGTGGAAGATCTCTTTCTCTGTGTCTCTCCTTCTCTCATTGTCACTCTTTCCTTGACACATAAATAAATAAATATTTTTAAAACGTGATTCATTTCAATAGTATATTTTTAATTGGCTAATGCTAAAAACTTGAAAATATTTCAAATCATTACTTAACAGATTCAGCCTTAATTTTATAGTAATTGATTCAAATCAGTTCTGGAGTCAAGAAAGGAGTATTTTCAAATTGAAAATATCTAATATCTCGGTATTAGATCAACTTACATAATTATGTTTACATCATTCAAATTAATCACTAGGTTTTTAATACCTGCATTTCCATTTTAATAGCTATATTTTAAATACAAAAGAGGTTCTTTTAAGTATATTAAATTAGATTCTAATAATCACAACTATTCTTTTTTATAAAATCTGATCATGCACAAAGGAAGAAGAAATGTAAGGCAGACTACCAGATAAGATGGCATGATGAAGGCATGAGACAGGTCATAGCCTCTAGTAGAGCTCTCTTATCAAAGAATAGATGCACATAAGTGAGAAAATGAAGAGGTTCAGTGATATCCAAAGTATCCCATACCATATAAGTACAAGGATATTTACAGTTAGTGTAGGACTCTGTAGGGTTCTTTATATGATCCTAATGTAAAAACAAAAATGTTTTGAGAGAAAAAGAGAAACTATTCCAAAGGACATAGAAAACAAAGCATGCTAGGATGAAATTCTGAGAAGAGTACTGATAATTTACAATGATAGTTTTAAAGTATATCAACAGCTACAATAAATATTTCCTCCTGCATACATTTTATCAGATCAACAGAACAGACTCTGGTTAGTAATGGCTGTGGCATTTAGATTTTGATGTAAAATGTTTATTCAATAAACAATAATGACATGATTATCTAGTCATCTGAAAATAATACAACTAAACCTATATTTGTGAGTACCAATCTAATCACCTATACACACTAAAGAAGTCTCAACGGATCAAACATTTTTTGAAACTGTAAAAATAGTAGAACAAAATACTTAAAAGTAAAAAATAAAAGTGGGAAAGAGGCAGATCACAAAACTCATAGATGACAAATTTAAAGATATTATTTTAAAAATTTATTTGCGGGGCCGGCGCTATGGCTCACTTGGCTAATCCTCTGCCTGTGGCGCCGACATCCCGTATGGGCACCGGTTCTAGTCCTGGTTGCTCCTCTTCCAGTCCAACTCTCTGCTGTGGCCCAGGAAGGCAGTGGAGGATGGTCCAAATGCTTGGGCCCCTGCACTGCATGGGAAACCAGGAAGAAGCACCTGTCTCCTGGCTTCAGACTGGCACAGCACCGGCCGTGGCAGCCATTTAGGGAGTGAACCAACGGAAGAAGGACCTTTCTCTCTGTCTCTCTCTCTCACTGTCTATAATTCTGCCTGTCAAATTAAAAAAAAGAATTATTTGCTGGGTAGGCATTTAGTGTATTGATTAAGATGTCTGTTAAGATGCCCACATCCTACACTGAAGCACCTGGGTCGATACCTGGACCTGATTCCTGACTCTAGATTACTGCCAATACAGATCCTGGGAGGCAGCAGTGACAGTTCAAATAATTGAGTCCTCCTTCTTACCTGGGAATACTAGATTAAGCTTCTGGCTCCCAAGTTTGGCCTGGTCCATCCAGTCCTGGCAATTGAAGGCATTTGGTGAATGAATTAGCAGATAGTAACTCTCCCCCAAGCCCTGCCACTTTTTCTTTATTTTCTCTCAAACAAAATAGTTACAAATAATTTATTAATTAGAAGATTTAAAGGGTTAAAAATCAAACAGCAATCTTGGAAAATGCATTATATATGATAAAAAATGGGTTAAAATTTTCAAGAGTCCTTATGAAAAGACCAATTTCTCTATGGAAGAGCAGAAGAAAAGACTGATAGATCTGACATGATAGAGAAAACCAGACCCAACTGTCTTATAACTAGGCAGTTGAAATGTGAATTCTGGAGAAATATTATATATACATGTTCAGCCATAAAATTCCACAGGACTCAAGTGTGCAAAGATTCAGATTTTCTTTCATTGTCTACTGAATTAATCCAGTCTTGATCCATGAAAACTAACAAAAGTTGACTTGCAAATTCAACACTATTTCTAGTGTGAAAGTCAATTCTATTGAGTAAATTTCTCAGCCCAGACAACTAATTTAACAATGCATTCTGATTTTAAATGATCTCAATTCAATATTAAGTCATTTCCTTTATCTATTTGCATCCCACATTGGCCTCTTAATACCAGGGGAGAGATAGGTGTGTTTAGGCATGGGATTTGAAGAGCATCAGATCTTGCCCTTTCTCCTTGCTGATCCCCAAAGATTTTTTCATTTATATTCAAGTTACCCCCTTCTTTCCTAAAAGTGGTGCCTGCCAGGACTGCCACCTCTAATACCACAAGTATTCAAACACTTCCCTTCAGATTTCCCAGGAGTCAGTAGGCTGATTTGCCTGAGTGCAGATCTGTTGCCAGTCCTTATCTGTGTAGGGAGGGATTTTCTATTTAGTGAGGGGGTTGATGTTTTCTATATTCTGTACCAGATCAAGTCTAGGTGTTCTATTCTACTTTCACACAGTTCCTGTCAGACCACTCTCTATAATGTCTATTTTTTTTTCTGGGTACATGTACAAAGAAGTTTATCATATTCTGTCTCCTAATTGTATTATTATATTGTAGCCATTGATTGTGGAAATTTGGCTTGTTGTCCTTATAGATCTGAATGGTTTTTGAAAGCTCTCTAGAGAAACTTGGATTCCAGCAGCCATTGCTATGCAATAGAAAACCACAAGTTTGAACCACTGGATTTTGAGCTTACCACTGACAGTTAAGCCTACTTGCATTTACCTCTATGGTGTTGAAGATGCAAGGAAAAGTTCATCATTAGGCTGCTATGATTCTTTCTTGGAGAAGATTGATCTGGAACTCTTCAAGTAATCGATTATCTACAGTCTAGCAATAAAGGAATTTCAGCACTCAATGACTAGGTGTTAGATTTTGATACCCATCCACCCATCTGTGTCAATTTTCATTCTTGGTTATCCAGTCAAACCGTATATGTGTCTAAGCCTGTTGAGAAGCCATTCTGCTGTGAAATTCTTGGCCATAAATTATCACTTCCTTCTCTTTATATCATGCCAGTAGAGCTATCAATCTGCCAACTGATTTGAAGGCTAACAGATAAGAGTTGAAGAGAAGTTCAACAGAAACTAATGATGCCAAGGAATCAAGGAACTTCTAAGATGATCTCTATAATTTCTGAAGATTAAGTACAAAATATAAGAATGAAGAGTCTTGGGTACAATATGAGCTATAGTTAAGAAAGAGCAACTCTTTAGAGAAAATTCTACCTAAGTCAATGAATTACAGGAATTGGTCAATTGAGAGCTTTTTACACTTGTCTGTAAAAGTAGGAAAGAAATATTGAAAACTTTAACTACATAGCATCAAGGCAGGGCAAAATTATTCTCAATGTCTGATTACCAAAACAGGCCTCTGTATGTATTGGTTCTGACTGGCAACGAATAGGAGATGGGTGCTGAGAGCATTTATCAGTACAGTAAAGCTTGCCTTTCATAACACACAGTCCAAACTCTCTGGACTTCTTCTAGGAGTGCAGTATCTGACCCATGCTAAGGTGCTCTGCATGAGGAAGGTCTTCTCAGATATGAGACTGGAAGATGGTCATTCATTACAGTGTGGGTTTCTTAGCTAGAGCTCTGGGCGCTGCAAGAACGGTTTGGATTAAAGTGTGGAACAGGGCAGTGCAGGAGGATTCACTCAGCAGAGAAGTCTAAGTCACAGAATGACTCTTGGTGGGCTATTAATCTGCCTCTGAATCAGGACTGAATTTAGAACTGAAATTCTTAACCTCAGCAAATACTTCTTACACTTAGGGTCTATACTACCATATTTGGTGTAAAATGTTGTCTTATATTCTTACTTCATTTTCTGTGGATATGGTTCTTAGCATATCATAGAGTCGCCAAGTATTTGGTGGAATTCGTAGATGTTCATGAATGTATCATGTACTCTCTTCTCTCTGAATACAAGCGATTACTCTTAAGTACCTCATTGTTATGCTTGAATATGTCATCCAATAACACAGTTGCAGCAGCACAGTAAGGACTGACTGATAGTTTTGATCTTTAATTCACAACAGAATAACTTTTACTTAATAAACCATGTCAATGATGTTGAATTTTTTTAACCACTCAAGCATTAAACTTTACACAAATCACATATCAAAATGGAAAATTAAGCAAGTTAAGAATATGCTTCAGGCCTGGCACTGTGGCACAGGGGGCAAAGCTGTTGCCTGAAGTGCCAGCATCCCATATGGGTCCCAGCTGCTGCAATTCCAATCCAGCTCCCTGAGGTCTGGAAAAGCAGTGGAAGATGGTCCAAGTGCTTGAGCCCCTGAACCCATGTGGGAGACCAGAAGAAGCTCCAGGCTCCTGGCTTTGGATTGGCCTAGCTCTAGCCATTATGGCCATTTGGGGAGTGAACCAGTGGATTGAAGATCTCTCTCTCTCTGCCACTCTGTAACTCTGCCTTTCAAAAAAAATATGCTTCATGGGGCCAGTGGTGTGGTGAAACAGGTTCGAGTCCTGGCTGCTTTGCTTCTAATCCAGCTCCCTGCCAATGCATCCAGCAAAGCAGTGGAAGATGACCCAAAGTACTTGGGTCACTGCCACACATATAGTAGACCTGAAAAGAGTTCCTGGTGTCGGGTCTTGACCTGGCTGTTGTGGGCATTTGGAAAGTAAACCAGCCAACTGAAGACTCTCTCTCTCTCTTTCTCTATGTGTGTGTGTGTATCTTTATCTCTATCTCTATCTCTATCTCTATCTCCGCCTTATTCTGTCACTCTGCCTTTCTAATAAATACATAATTTTTTAAAGAGAATATACTTCATAACCATTCACTTTTAAATAGTCGTTTACATAGACCTGCAACACATTTTAAAAAGTAACTGAAATATATTTAGTAATAATAGAGCAAAGTGTTTCTATATTTAAAATTACATGTTTACTTGATGTACATTAGAAGACATTTAGGAAAATATGGAAAAGTTATATTATTATGAATATAATCTAGAAAGTATATAATACTATGTTTGGATATTTACAGTTTCAGACTCTGGTATGTTTCAGTTTACCTAATGTCAGTGTAAAGAGAGAACTGAGTGAGAAATGTATTATCTTCATTTTGATTCAAAATGTGTCTGAAATTTAACATCTAAATAATGCTCCAGCTAACCATGACCTCAATTTCAATAGCCAGTATGCAGAGGGAGAATTCAGTTGAACCATGCAGATCTCACTCAATCAAGGAACAATGGGAAAAAAATAACTCTTTAGAAAACCCCAAACTACTTCTTCACCAGCAGGATAGAAAATACTTTAACAAATAGAATCTTAGACCTGTGCAATCTCTTCAAACAAGACTACAGTGCAGGATTTTAAGAGAATGCAATTATATCATGCAGTTAGTTCATTAAAAAGAAAAATGTGTTGAGCAAAAAAACATAAATATTCTAAGTGAAATATGATATGGCAAATTTCCAGTTCCACTAATTTTGCATTAAAACAAGTACCATTATTATCAAAATTCAGAATTTTTGTTGTTGGTATCCTGGCACAGCAGATTAGCAGGTTAAGCCACCACCTGCAATGCTGGCATTACAGAAGGAAGGGCCCCAGCTCCATTACTGGCTGTTCTACTACCAATCCAGCTCACTGCTGCTGTGCCTGGGAAAGCAGCAGAAAATGGTCCAAGCCACTGCACCCACATGGGAGATCTGAATGAAGTTCTTGGCTCCTGGTTTCAGGTTGGAACAGCTCTAGCTGTTGAGTCATTTGGGGAGTGAGCCAGTGGATAGAAAATCAATCTCAGGGCCAGCGCTGTGGCGCAGAGGGTTAATGCCCTGGCCTGAAGCACCAGCATCCCATATGGACACCGGTTGAAGACCTAGCAGCTCCACTTCCAATCCAGCTCTCTGCTATGGCCTGGGAAAGCAATGGAGGATGGCCCAAGTCCTTGGGACCCTGCACCCATGTGGGAGACCTGGAAGAAGCTCCTGGCTCCTGGCTTGGGATTGGCGCAGCTCCGGCCGTTGCAACCAACTGGGGGGTGAACCATCAGATGGAAGACCGCTCTCTCTCTCTTCTCTCTCTCTGCATCTCCTCTCTCTGCATAACTCTGACTTTCAAATAAATAAATAAGGCTTTAAAAATAAAAAAGAAAATCAATCTCTTTCTCACCATAACTCTTTCTTATAAATAAATACATAAATCTTTAAAAAATTAGAATCTTCAGGGCTGGCACTATGGCACAGTGAGTTAAAGCCCTGGCCTGCAGTGCTGGCATTCCATATGGGTGCCAGTTCAATACCTGGTTGCTCTACTTCCAATCCAGCTCTCTGCTATTGCCTGGGAAAGCAGTAAAAGATGGCCCAAGTGCTTGGACCCCTGCATCCATGTGGTAATCTTGGAAGAAGCTCCTGGCTCCTGCCTTCAGATAGGCACAGCTCTGGCCATTGCAGCCAACTGGGGAGTGAATCAGCGGAAGGAAGACCTTTCTCTCTGTCTCTCCCTCTCACTGTCTGTAACTCTAACTCTCAAATAAATAAATCAAATCTTAAAAAAAATTAGAATTCTCACATGTATAGGTCAATGTATTAGATTTTCCAAAATTAGTGCAGTATTTATAATAGCTCTGAGCAAATCAATTTTTTTAAGTGTTATGTATTTCATTCCCTTTTTACAGATGATGAAATAAAGTTAGAGAAATAAAATAAGCTGCCTAAAGTGACTTAGTAATTAAATTGATAAGCCAAGATTCCAATCCAGAGCTGTATATACAAATTATTTCTTTAACTCTTTTAGAAGATTATTAAAATTTTCTTATTAAAAATTAAGACATTAAAACTGTACATAATTATGAGGTACACATTGTGTAATGTGTTTATTCATTTCAGTGTCTGGAAACAAAACAGAGCAAAAATGCAGCACAGTTCATTGTTAGTGAAGAGTCATTTCCTCAGGCTAACTGAAAATTTCAAATGGCAACTCATAAGCAAAGAGTAGGGGCTGAAATTATGCAGCACATTGCATGATATTATGTGGAACCAGGATAATCTCTTTCTCCTTCATTTCCTAATCCAGTTAATGGCAATGCCTTTTCTCCTTTGGTTCTGTAAAAAGTCTTGCTCCTCATTCTCCTCACTTGTTCTCTTTTCTTATCTTCTGTCCTCACCCTTCTCTCCTACCTTCCCTTCTCCTCCCCTCCTCCACACTACTATCCTCTGCCCTCCTCTACTTTACTTCCGTCTTCACCCTGTCCCTCTGCCCATAACTCTGTCAACATTCTCCCAAAGATTTCTACCCAAGGGTCTTTCTTCATGCAGACCCACACTCTTAAAAGGATTATCTGCTCAACAGCAGTTTTGAAAATGTCATTTACATTTTTTCCCCACTAGAAATTACCATTAAAATATAAAACTCAAAGCAACTCAAGTTCACAGTTCTGCAAGTCCTTAACCTATCTTTGAATTCTGGCTTCCAGCCAGAGGCCTCTTACTCTCCAGCCTGCCTGGACTGCCTACTGTGTACACAATCCCTTGGTCCTGTGTCTGCCCCTATGGGTTGCTCTGCTTGCACCAAGCCATTCAAGCAGAACCAATGATGTAAATTCAGTTACATTCATGGCCACTGTCAGGAAATAAGTTCAGCAGTCAGATATAGAATAACTTACCTTTGTTCAATTATCACAGCAATTGAAATGAGAAACTAACCCCACCTGCAAAAAAAAAAGGGGGGGAGTGGAAGAACTACATAAATTTTTCAATGTGTGTACTACGTGCCAGTCATTGTCCACTAGGAATGTAAGTATGATGGAGTTTAGTAGAGAAAAGAAAGATTTAAACTTTTTTTTTTTTTCGTAGACATTCTTAGTAGAAGTAACCAATGTCTGTTTATCAGTCAGGAAATAAACTCTTTGGAAGAAATGGCACAGTGTTGTTCATACATATGTGGGAGCCTGTAAGCAAGAGAAAGAAGGATCTAGTCACAGAGCTGAGAGTTCAACACACTGGGGCCTATTCAACAGGGCAATCAGACCTGAGAAATGAGTCAGGACTGCAGATAGCTCCAGGGCTTCGGATTTTAGAACCAGTGAGAAGGCAATGAAGGACTTAAGCGTGTAAGGTGACCATTTCTATGTGTGAGGAATTTCTGACTGCCTTGAGGAAAGCTACCTATTTACCAAATATCTACAGAAGTTTAGATGATAAATAACAATGATATATTGTTTAAGCTTCACACTTACACATACATTACTTGAAACGTGCCTGAAGCCTGAAGGACATATTTAGCATAATTTCAAGATTTTTTATATATATTTTTCCAAATGCATAATTTAGAGGCAACAGGATTTATCTAGAATTAACACAGATAGGAAATAAAATTAATCTGTTTTGTTTTACTAATAATCAATGCATTTTATTAAATTGCATAATGATAATAGATAGTTAAAGATATCTTAAGAGTGATAATTACAAACAATTTAGAAGTCTTCCCAAAATTGAACAGAAGCAATGAATATGCTTCTGAGTTGGAAATGATTTGTTAAATAAAATGTTTTCTGCAAATGTCACCTTTGGTGTATGTTTATATGTAGTGTATTTAATCAAAGAGAAGATTAGAATAAATTGTTATCTAATTTACTTCCATGATATCATTGAGCTCTGTTTTCAAGACAGTCATTAGAAGTGATCTGTTCTCTCTCACACATAGGCTTCTCATTTCCTGAGAATTAATGAGTCTAATTGATCATGGCAGACTGTTGGCATTTTCTAATAATAAAGTTAGCTGTCTCTTCCCAGAAGCGGTTGCAGTCATGCTACCAGTTTGTGAAGCACAAATGAGATAACTCACTGGAAGCCTGTTATGCATTCTTCATATCCAACTTCATTGCAGAAGCTAAGTTCAAAGGTAGATCCAGGTTTGTAAAAAATCTCTAAGAAAAAGAACACAAAATAATGGACTCAACATTTGACGCAAAAAGTAAAATTCTATACCAGGTAGGAAATGTACAAACAAAAGAATTAACTGAAATGTGACCAACAGCATGAACATTACAGAGTCTAAGAGAAAAAATATATTAATTAACCCCCTGACATATCTCTAGTGTATTGTGTGTGGCTGCATACTCTGATCAGCTCTTCATGAGACAATGATTTCATGCTACCCTATTTTTTTAAGAGAAGATAAAGATCATTTCTTCTGTCTTTGTTGCTAAAAAATTATTGATAGTTGGAATTCGTAAAATACTTGCAATTTACATAGATATACTTGTTTAATTTCTGAAAGTTTGGTGCTCTGCAAACATACCAACAGTGGTAAATTATATTTTGTGAAATTTCCAAAATAAAAGAAAACTGGTGTGATTTTTTAAAACTTTACCTTCTACATTTTTAAATATTTCTTGAAGGAATTTTCATTTTGAGAAGGTGTCAAAGATACTTATTTTTCTGCTTCAAATTTTGACAAGTCTGAATTTTGAAATCTTTTTCCACAGATCGGCATCTGGTTTTGTACATTTTAAACCCTGTTACTTCCTTTTCCATTACTCCCATACTTCCACAATAGGATATAACTATATAATATTCAGACCTCCAGACTTCAATCTGTGTTGCTAAGCCAGAGCGAGGCAGCAAGTAGGCAGTAGAATTTCTCCTGATTATCAAAACACATGAATGAGTAAAAATATGAGCATAAACTTGATAGCCCAATAAGCCCAAATATTTCAAATCTCATTCAATATGATTGGGTCTGTAAAATGCCAACTGTTATCTGACATAAAATACATGTAATAAGAAAATCAGAGTGAGAAATGATTGCATTGAAAACATTTTAGTTTTTCAAGTTTATAAAACTATATGATCACATGAACACATTGTACAGCAATATTCCCAAGACTTAGTTGCCATCTACAAAATATAAAAACGTTTTAAGGAGGTCCCTCTCAATCCTGATTCCAGGATTTTCTTTGACCCTTCAAGAGATAGAAAGCCATCCCTCCACCAACAAACAAATGCAAAAAAAAGCACTCTAGCTGTATAGTGTTTCACTATCCCTCTATTGGTTTTTTTTTTTTTTTTTTCAGTCCTAATAGTGAGATCCTTTTACTGAGCCAGTTGTAGAGTTTTAGGTTCCTACATTAGCACACTAGAGCTAATGAATAGTACAAAGAAAGTTGAGCCTTCACCAATCAAAGCCCACCCACCTCTATCCAGGATCATTCCAGTAAAAGCAAATGAGACACTGTTTCTCTGTCTACCTTCCAAGAGAAGTCTCACCGAGTTTGCTTCACCTGAGCTCCTGAACTTCTTATTCTGAGTGCTGCCAGTTCCCTCAGTCATTCATTGAGACAATAAACTCCTGGATTTGCTTTGTCTAAAGTTTTTCTTTACACATGGTTTTCCCACTCTTCTTAAATTGTGTCTTCACCCACAAGCTTTTAGCATTCAACTTCTTTAATTGTGGCATGTTTGCTTCAAGGAGTCTGATGTATCATCTCATGGTTCCTTATCTTCAATGTCACTTCCTCACTGAGTCCTGTTCCAATCACCTGCCGGCATTATTTTTTTTTCTTTTGTGAGCTTCTTTATCATGACATTTACCCAAATGAGTAATCATATCTATTTACCAACAGTGTCTATTTTTTTTTTTTTTTTTGACAGGCAGATGGACAGTGAGAGAGAGAGAGACAGAGAGAAAGGTCTTCCTTTTGCCATTGGTTCACCCTTTAATGGCTGCTGCGGCCGGCGTGCTGGGGCCGGCGCACCGCGCTGATCCGATGGCAGGAGCCAGGTGCTTCTCCTGGTCTCCCATGGGGTGCAGGGCTCAAGTACTTGGGCCATCCTCCACTGCCTTCCCGGGCCACAGCAGAGAGCTGGCCTGGAAGAGGGGTAACCGGGACAGAATCCGGCACCCCGACCGGGACTAGAACCCGGTGTGCCGGCGCTGCAAGGTGGAGGATTAGCCTAGTGAGCTGCGGTACCGGCCCAACCAACAGTGTCTAGTTCCAAACAGTGTCTGCCATGTAAACTGGCACTAAATAATAATTTATGGTAAAACCCTTTGTAAGTAAACTTACCTATCCCTTGTTTCCCGACAAGGTGAAGTTCTTCCTAAAAGGGATTTTTAACATTAACCAAGTGCATATTTATGAGCATTATGTGATGTTTTGTTACATTTACATACTGTGTAATGTCCAATCTGTCTCCTTGTACACTTAACATTTCTTTTGGTGAAAGCATCTAAAATCCTATATTCTAGCTTTCTTTTTTAATAGAGAAAAAATATAGTAGATTAACATTATCTATAGTCACCTGTAGTGCAATAGAACTCCAGAATTTCTTAATCCTATCTATCACTAAGTACCCATTCACTAAATTTTCTCCATCATTACCCCTCCCTTCCCACCTCAGCTTCTGATGACCACAACTACACTTTTTACTTTTATGAGAAAATACAGTTTTGAGACTCCACCTATGAGTGAAATCAAGTGATATTTGCTTTTCTATACTATGAAGAGAGGGATGGAAATGGAAGCAAGTATGTTGAGTAAGACTACCCCCAGAGAATCAACAGGCAATGTTATGCCATCACAAAACACACCAAACACCGGAGTAAGGGAGAGGTTTTATTGGGGAAAACCCAACAGATCGGAGGGGTGGGGCGATGCAGGGAAAAAGGGAGAGAACGAGAGTATAAGAGAGAGAGACAGAGAGGAGAGGAGCTAGCGAGGAGAGAAGAGAGAGCGAGCAGGAGAGAGCAGAGAGCAGGAGAGAAGAGCCAAGAGTGTTCAGGAACAGGTCCTTTTAAAACTTTGCCAGGGGGTGGGCAGGGAAGTAGGAGCAGCAAATCCCATTAGGATGGGGGTGGAGCTTGATAACAAAGGTTGGGCCTTGTGGCCACCTGGCTTCCAGCAATGGCGGCAGGCGCTAGGGCCTAGGATGTAAATCAGGGTGTAGATCGTGCCATGGATAAAACTATGCCATTTTCTTAACAGGCAAGCCTATTTCATGAACGATGCCTCTTCGCTATCCCACTTCCTCCCAATCTGCTCTCCCTGGACAAGTCAAAATGAGGGGTACTCAATCACCACAAAATAACAAATCACTCTATGAACTGGAATTCCACAGTTACTTGAACCAGGGTATACTCGTATGCCAAATTATCATTAGGATAAATATCTTGGTAGATTTGATTGACAGTGATCACTCCTGATCATTTTATTAAATTTGCAATAATACTACTCGGCATTTATGAAACTGAATTTTCTGGAACACATTTATTGTATTAAAACAGGGTTTCACTGTATTGTATGAAGGAAGGAATGAGCTTGTCTATTATTGTTTTTCTATTATTTCAAAATGCATATTTATGGAGAAAATAATCAATGGGACTATGAAAGAATTTAGCTTTTCAAAAAAATGAATTTAAACTATTACTATGTTCTGATGAAAATAAAATTATTTAACTTTGTAAATAAAAATCAACTATCAAATGTTTTGAATCATCTCTTTTCTTTTAAGGATAAGATGTATAGTGTTCTGGGAATTAGGTATTTTGGGAAAAACAATGACTATTTCCATTTCTGTACACTTCCTTTCATAAAATAAAAGATGAAATTTGCATCCATTAACTCCATTGAGAGAAAAGTCTTTCTGAGACTTATCTACTTATCTGATAAGTAGACACAATCAACATTCATTCTAGCCTTACTTCTCCTTATTTACTCCCTTTTAAAGCTAAAGTCTAATCTTTCTGCACTGCCTTGCATCAAAGCAAAGCCCATCTGACACAAAATTGTACAAAAATCTCTAGAATTTCAATAAAGGGTTTGTTTCTTGATTCAGTCTTCCTCTTTTACTCATCTATTACTTTTTCTTCCATGCAAGAATGTAGTCGCAGAGACTGGAGATGCCGAAGCATTGACATTGCAACCATGAGGAAAAGACTCAGAACATCACAAGATCCGAAAATCCTTTGGATGGTAAGTCAAGGCCAATAGCTGCCCACTCCTTGGCATCTTCTTGCACAGAAATAAAATACATCCTAAATTTACTTAAGCTTCTCTTTAGTTTTATGGCACTTATAAAGTCCAACACAATCAACAAATGATACAGTGACACAAGAATATTAGATTTCAAGTATTTTTGCATTAAAAGAAACTTTTTGGTGCTGGGGCTGTGGGTAAAGCCACTGCCTGCAGTGCTGGCATCCCATATGGGTGCTGGTTTGAGTCCCGGCTGCTCCACCTCTAATCCAGCTCTCTGCTATGGCCTGGGAAAGAATATGGCCCAAGTCCTTGGGCCCCTGTACCTGCCTGGGAAACCTGGAAGAAGCTCCTGGCTCCCGGCTTCCCATCGGCTCAGCTCCGACCGTTGTGGCCATTTGGAGAGTGAACCAGTGGATGAAAGACCTCTCTCTCTCTCTCTCATTCTCTCTCTCTAACTCTGCCTCTAATTTTGCCTTTCAAATAAATAATACTTTTTAAAAAAGAAACTTTTCATTTTACTTTTTTTGAAGTACCCTCTTACTAAAAATGTGGTGATGTATTTGACTGGCTGACTTAATAGTAAAAAATAGCAAAGATTTTCTGAGTACTTATTTTGCACCGGTCACCTTCCTAGCCACTTTACACATATTAATTAACTCTCTTTTTTCTCTGTATAACTCTATTTCATGGGTGCTATACACAATTCAAAGGGCAAGAAAACTGAGGTAAAGAGAGATTCAGGTTTTTTTTAATTTATTTACAGATTTACTTATTTGAAAAGCAGAATTTAAGAGAATGGGGGGAGAAGGAGAGATTCTCCATCTACTGGTGATTATTCCACTTGGGTCACAGGGATACAAGCGCTTGGGCCTTCATCTCCTGCCTTCTCAAGCACATTAAGCAGGAAACCAGATAGAAGTAGATTAACAGAGACTCACACTGGCACCTAGACTT